ACATGGACGGTCGCGCGGCTGCGCCAATACCGCCACGCACTGAGAGCCCGCGCCAAGCAGGACAAGGGGAGGGAAAGCCGGAGTAACAAGAGGACTGCCCACGACCGCGTACTCGCGGCCGCAGGGGAGCGAAACCCGGCGCGAACAATTTCTTTTTTCCGGAACAGAAAAATTTAAAGGGGCCTTATCTGTCGTGTGAATCGTGTTGTGCGAGCACCTACCTGCTGAAATTCTTTTCAGGCGTGGCCGTTAAAGGATTTTACCGTGTTAAAGAATTTTACAGTGTTAAAGAATTTCAAAGCAACTGCTGCAACTGCTGCCTGCAACAAAAATTCCGCTCTCTGTGTGTTTCTTTTGAGCTAGCCTTCGATGTTATAAAAACAAACGCAGGTCTGGGTGCGCTTCTCAGCTCCTCGGCCCTGGATGTGAGGTTAATAACTGCACTCCAAGTGCTCCAAGTGCAGGGCGGACACACGCACATCGCTCTCCCCCAAATGACGTGTGAGTGTTAGAGTTGTTTGGTATTGCTAAAAATCTCTCTCTCTCTCTCTCTCAGACATCAGAGAGAGAGAGAGAGAGAGAGAGAGAGAGAGAGAGAGAGAGAGAGAGAGAGAGAGAGAGAGAGAGAGATCGTATGCGCCGGAGTCCGAGCAGGAAATTCCGAGCAGTGCGCACTCAGAATTACCAACTACACGATCGTTGTACATGCACCAAAATACAACCAATATATCAATACATCACCGTCCACATCTCGATTGTTCTTGGTATGAGGGCCGCTACTCTGTTCGGGTGTGTCACGCTGAGGCTGGTCACCCTCCGCTGCGTCCCACCGCGCGCGCAGCGGCCTATAGCGCTGCCACATAGCAGCCTCAGTCAGACCGACACAGCCACTTGCTTGAATGAGAGAGGAGAGACCGTCTCTCGTGCTGAGCGTCACCCCTTCGCACTTGTTTTTTCTTTTTGTGTCACGTGGTGAGCACTTGGAGGACTCCCAGTTAGGAGCACTTGGAGCACTTAAAGTGCATTGCGTCCTTTTTTTCGCACGGTAAAATTCTTTTTTTGCAAATGGCCGGCTCCAGCGTGCCGACGCGACATGTGCGTTGTTGTGAACTGGTTGTGAACAGTGAATACAGCGTGTGTGTACAGTGCCACGTGATACTCGACAACGTGATCCTCGAGAGTGTGCGTTGTGAATAGTGAATACAGTGTGATGTGTGTGCCTACGATGAGCTCAAGCACAGAACTAATCCCATATGACTCCATATTGATCATTGTGTCCATGCAGATTCTTATGGCGGCCGATCTCCGACATATCGGATCAGAGCAGGCACCGCAGGGCACCGCCTACTGCTCGGTCGCTCACCTATGGCTATTGGTTTCTTTGCCCGTCGATCCGATTCCACATCGAGGACGACGGTCGAGGGAGGTGCAGGCGCACCGACAAAGGTCCGCACTAGAGGTCCTCAGGCCGAGACTCGGACAGAGGTCCTCTTGGGAGGTCCTCAGCACGAGAGAGGCTCTCACCTCTCTTGAAGAGGCAAGAGGAGCAATTATTTGTTGGCTCGCTGAGGCCGCTGGCACATTTTCTCACAGCGAGAGTGCGTGAGCTCGTGTGGGTGTCCTCTCACTCTCTCCGGCCAGCCTCGGTCGGTACAACAGGATGTCGGACTCGCTCGAAGGAAAGCTCTCTCGAAGATGGGCTCCAACCTCGTCGCCGACGCATTGGCTGCGGCAGTCACCGGACAACTGCGGCAGCAATCTCCAATCCACAGCCCCACAGGAAAACAGGCGCACGACTACTCCACAACGGCTACTACGGCTCCGGCAAGGGCTAAGGCAAAGGGCTAATACGGTAAGGGCGGCAAAAGGCTAAAGGTGAAACGGCAAGGGCGGCGGCCGTGGCGGCGTGCGTGATTTGCTTCCGCTGCTCGCAACCCCCACTCGAGTGCGGCGCCCGGAGATGCTAGTTAGTGCTTGAGAAGACACCACAAACGCGGCACGGCCCGTTTTGGATGTCTGCGGAGATTCTGTCTTAGCACACAAGTCATCGATGGCCAGAGTGCGATTGTGTGTGTGCGGGAGTTGGTTTGTTTTTCGGGAGGGAAGGAAGGGGCAGGCTGCTCACTCACTCACCCACGTGCACCGGGCCATTGCACTTTGAATGCCTTGGGGCTCCTGCCCTGTCCCTGTGTTTGAGATGCGAGGGTCGCCCCCCCTTTCCCCACCACTTTGTGTTGAGAAATTTACCTTACCTTACATTACTTCGCAGCCGCCGTTTCCCCGAAAATCGGGCGCCTGTGTACTTCGGCGTAGCCGCCCTGCCGTGCGGCCTGCCGTGCGAGCCTCCCAGCATGCTGTCCCTGGTGGACGAGATGCAGGAAATGTGGGCGAGTCCGCAGCACAAACTTACCGCCTACGAGGCCTATCTAGAGGAGCGCATCGCTCTGAGGCGCGCGCTGCACGCCACAGCTCTCTCCCGTGCGCCTACACCGTACCCGACTCCACCGCCTGCCATCTTCAGGTGCGAGGACTCGACGCCGGACGACAGCGCCTCCACCTCCAGCCGGCTCGAGGCGAAGTACCTCTCACAGCTGAGCACGCTCGAGGGCAGCAGCCCCAGCCGCGTCGGGAGCAAGCGAGGGCTCGACGAGGACGACGAGATGAGCGGTGCGGCCGCACGAGTAGGCCAACGCACCCGCTGATCTTGACTGACGCCCCGCCCGCTGTCCGAACAGGCCTGCCGGAGCTCAGCGCGTGGGCTCGTGCTCGCGCCGAGCAGGCCGCCGAGCAGGCGTTAGAGCAGGAGAGCACCGCGAAGCGGCAGCGCAAGCAGCGTGCGACGTTCTGGGCGACTGCCGTAGTCGACACGGAGCTGCTGAGCAGGCTCACGCTGCAGTGTTGAGGGGTCGTCCTACATAGTCCACACACGTGCGCGTTCACTACACGTTAAAGCGCTAAAAAGATCATACCCCTCAACCGCCTGGGGTTGTCCCAGTGCCTCCCAGGGTCTCGACAGAAACGACAGACGACACACTCGAGACACTCGACCGCTCTCACGAGATACACGAACTCTCTCTCGTCAACGTCTATCAATCTCCCGGTCTCTCTCGGTGTCGGTCGCTCCCTCATGACTGACGTTTACACACTCGGCTCTACTTGTACGGTTGTACGTCGCCGGAATCCATCAGGGCGCATGCGGTGGCGTGTGGAACACTGGAAGGCCAAACTCAGTCCACCCTCTTGTACGGGAAGAAGGTGGCGGTGGAGAGGGCCCGCGACGCCCACACCCCGACGTAGGACGCGATGATGACCGGCGGCAGCAGCACCGACAGCTGCGCCGAAGCGGCGGCGGAGAGGCCGAGCATGAAGACCGTCGCGAGGGGGGTGCGCGTCACCGACGCCTGCGTCGCCGCCCATAGGCTCATCACCCACGCGGGCATCAGCGCCGCCGGCACCACTCCGGCAAAGCCGTGCGCGACGGCCGCCGCCGCGAAGAAGAGGGGGAAGATGACGCCTACTCCCGGGCGATCTC